TTGATATTGGAAATGCCTATTGCTCCAATTATTTTACAAAAATACATAGCAATTTCTTAGAGTATGTAAAGGCTGCAGAGGAATGGGATTTGGGCAAAGAGACCCATCAGCCTCAGTAGCAAAAATTGGGTCATTGCCTGCTTAACTGTTCATGAAACTTTAGTCCTTTCATTAATTTTATATATATGTGTGTGTGTGTGTTAGATCTCTTCTGTTAAAGATTTCCTCCACAATCCACTTTAGATTGTACTTTGGCTGTTAGTCTTCCGAAATTTTACATCTGTTATTTTTAAACTTTTGATTAGTTATTATTTGATAATCAACAACCTACCGATCAATGATTTGTAATGATATTGGAAGATATAAAACTTTATGGATTAATTAGCTCCAATTTTAGGGTTTTTGCCTTTTCTTCTTAAAGTTTTTGCCTTTTCGTAGGTTTTTGCCTTTTCCATAGGGTTTTGACATGTTTTCCTCTGCTTGATTGGTGTTCGGTTTCCATTGGCGATCTTTCTTGATTTTCTCCCTTTTTGATTTAATCGGGTTCGATATGTTTGTGTTGTTTTAGATCTTATTTGGGTTCTCTGATGGGGGACGTGGTTCAGAATTTGGAGGAGTTACGTTTTGAGGATGAAGAAGATGAGGCTCTAGTAGTGGATGCAAGTGGAGGCGACTCAGGGCTATCTTAAGAGAATTGTTTCGTGGGAACCTTCCATACATCTAGTATGATCAATTATCAGGTGATGAAATCATACATCTAGTATGATCAATTATCAGGTGATGGAATCATACATCTAGTATGATCAATTATCAGGTGATGGAATCAACTTTGGCTAATATATGGCATCCAATAGGCGGGATAATTATTAATGATTTGAGGATGATAGATAATTATTTCATCTATAACATAAAGTGGATGTGGATCGGATTGATTCGGACAGCCCCTTGTATTTTAATGATCATTTACGTGTGCTACACATGCTTTTGGAGGGGGAGGATGCTACACATGCTTTTGGAGGGGGAGGATCCAAAACTGGCCCCTCTTCAAACTGTTACCTTTTGGGTTTAGACAGAGGATTTACCGGTTGGCTTTGTTTTTGAAGGAGTTGCGACCCAACTAAGGAATTTCATTGGCAAGTTCCTAGAATATGATGCTACGACAATTTCACTTGGGTATCGAGGAGGTATTTGAGTTCGGGTTCGGCTGGACATTCGATTTCCTTTGAAACGGAAGAAGAAGTTAGCCTTACTAGGAGGTAAATCTGCATATGTTGTATTTCAATATGAAAAACTGCATTTATTATGTTTTCTATGAGGGAAATTAGAGCATGGGGAAGGGATTTTTCGGTTGAGGATTTTGCAGGATAAGCAGGAACATGTGTTACAATGGGATACTTCTTTGATAGCAATTTCGAAGAAAAAAAAGTAACTTTGCAGAGTCCCTGGCTTCGGGAGGAGGACGGGTCTCTTCGGTATCAACTGCCCTTGGGAGAGGTATTGAATCAACATCTAAGGCCCCAAAGCCGAAGTTGGTTGTTAAGACCAAGTTTGACCGTATATCAAAAGTGGCAAAGAAGAACTCTGAGGATGTTATTATGACTGGGGACAAGGAAAATAATCCCATGGAGAAGGCATATAACGCAAAACGTCAGACATTTTTGGTAACTACAGATGATAGGAAGAATAAGGAGATGAGTGGAGGACACAGAACAGCGGAAGACCTAAAAATCTAAGCCGGCCGATAACAATGAAGCTCATGAGTTACAATGTTCAGGGTTTAGGGAAACTTAGGGTATGTAGGCGTCTTCAACATTTGCTTGAAGAACATTAATCGTTATGTACTTTTTCTGATTGAAAAAAAAATCTAGAATACTCGTATGGAAAAAGTTCAGCGGTAATGTGGTTTTAGTAGTGAAATTGAGGTGAGTGCTCGGGGTAGCTGTGAAGATTTATGGGAAGGTTTTCTTGGGATCTTTTGCTTCGTTTGGATGTGGATATGGGTCTTCCTTGGCTTGTAATAGGTGATTTTAATGAAGTCTTGCTCTCTTCAGAGAAAAGAGGTGGTTTGGCCGCAAATGGAGGAGTTTCGGGTTGCTCTATCTGAGTGTGGTCTTGATGATATCGGTTTTTCAGGTAATTGGTATACATAGGAGAGGGGCAGGCGTAGATCGAACAATATCCGGGAAAGACTCAATGTGGAGTTCCCAATACAAACTGGTTTGATCTGTTTCTTAATTATAACTTATCCCACTTAACTCGTGCTATGTCAGATCATTGTATCCTCTTGTTGAATACTGTGATAGAGGCTCGTACGAGACGCCATTGAAACTTTAAATTTGAAGCAGCTTGGTTGATGGAAAGCTCATGTGAGGATGAGGTTCGATCCTTATGGGACTCCTCTTCAGGTTCAGTTCTGGAAAGACTAACGGCTATTATAGAGGGGCTCGATATTTGGTTCTGAAAAATTAAACGAGAGAAGAAGATTAATGAGGTAGAGTTATAGAATTGGTTGGCGGAGATTAGCGAGCTCGACCCAACTGATGATATTCTGGGAGAAATGGAATATATTCAGCTTCAGTTAAATATTGAAGCAAATAAGTCTGAAATCTACTGGGAACATAGAGCTAGAGCAAATTGGCTTCGCAATTGGGATCAAAATATCGTTTTCTTCATCGTTTTACAACCCTGATGAAAAGGCGTAACCAAATCAATTCTCTTGTTAATGATGTAGGAGAGCATTTTATGGAGGATATGAGCATTGAGGCACACGCCAGGTGTTATTTTCATGAGCTATTCAAGTCGTCGAGTGTGGATCTCGTAAGGATAATCAAATGAATAGCTCCATGTATTTCGAAGGATATGAATTGTAACCTTCTTTTATACTTCACATATGATAATGTGGTTAGAACGATGAAGGAGATGAGCCCTCTCAAGTCACCTGGAGCGAATGGTTTGGGAGCAGTGTTTTATAAGAGGTTTTGGTATATTTTGGGGAAAAAGTTGCGGAGTTTTGCTTGGACTTAATGAAAGGAAATTCTTATATGCGATTAGTGAACTCTACGCACATAGTTCTCATTCCAAAGATTAAGTGTCCAATGAAGTTGACACAGTTCCCCCCAATCAATATGTGCAATGTTTTATTCAAAATTGTGTCAAAAATGCTTGGTCAACGGATGCAGGGGATCTTACACTTGTGCATTGACGAGGCATAGAGTGCCTTTGTACCTGGGAGACAGATCACTGACAACATTATCTCGGCCTATGAACTACTGCATTCTTTTGTTAATAGACGTATAGGGATGAAAGGTTTCTTTTCTCTTAAGTTGGATATGAGTAAGGCCTACGATCGAGTCAAGTGGCCGTTCATCTGGGTAGTGATGAGGAGTCTAGGTTTTTCTGCTTAGTGTATATCGATAATTGAACGATTTGTGAATTTGGTTACTTATTGTGTGATTGTTAATCGTTTAGTTGGGGAAGAATTCCATCATCAACGGGGGCTCAGACTAGGAGATCCTCTAAGTCCATACGTATTTGCATTCTATAGTGAGGGTTTATCGGCCCTAATCCGACAAGCAGTAGTTCGAGGGAGTCTAAAAGGAGTCAGGATTAATCGCTATACTCCGTTAGTAACACATTTCATGTTTGTCGATAATTGTATCATTTTTGGTGAGGTAGATGCTGCCAATGCGAGTTCGATTTCATTCTTAGGGAGTATTTGGGATAACAAAAAAATATGGTTTATTTTTTAGTTCCAATGTCATTGATGATAATAGATTAGATGTGAGGCGCATTTTGGGGGTTGCTAGTTAATCAAACCTGGAGAAATATTTGGGATTACCTGTGGTAGTAGGGCGAAATAAGAAAGGTGCCTTTGCTCAACATAAATAGAGACTCGTTTCTATAACTAATTCATGGAGTATAAGGCTTCTATCACAAGGGGATCGAGAAGTGTCTATTAAATCAGTATTGCAGGCAATTCCTTTGTTTGCCATGTATAATTGTTTTCTGCCTAAGCGTCTATGTTAAGAGCTGGAGGGTGTGAATGCAAGATTCTGGTGGCAAAAATCCCCAAAGCAGAAAGAAATTCATTGGTGCTCTTGGAAATCCCTGTGTACTCTTAAGGAGCAAGGTGGACCTGGTTTCCGAGACCTTGCAAAGTTCAATATTGCCTTGTTGGCAAAGCAGGGCTGGAAATTGATAAATGGTTTGGGTTCTTTGATGAGTCGTTTAGTTCAGGCCAAGTATTTTCAAAGTATTGATTTTTGGCACGCGCAATTGGGTTCTCCTCCGTCGTATATATGGCGCAGCATTTGGAGCTCTAGAAAGATCGTGGAAATGGGTGTTCGCTGGCGTGTGGGTTCAGGTATGACAATTTCCATCTGGAATGATTGTTGGCTCCCATAATTTTCCCCAGTCCGAGTTAGTAGTTCTCATGTAAATAATTTGGACCAGGTCTCAGACTTGATTACACAGAGCACTAATACATTGAATGAGGGCTTGATTCGGAGAAGCTTTAATTCGGAGGAAGAAGAAATTATTCTTTCAATTCCTCTTGCTTTTGAGGCAATGGAGGATTGTTTGGTGTGGAGAGATGAAAAAATTGAGTCATATACGGTGCCTAGTGGATATCGTATTCTATTAGGGACAATTCTGTTACATATAAAGAGAGCGTACTATTTAAATGCGTTTGGGAAAGTTCATGTCATCGAAAGATAAAACTTCAAGGTTGGAAGTTTGTTCAAAATTTGGCTTCTACCATAGTAAACCTTCATTACAATTGAATCTCTAATACTACTTTCTATTTCAAATATCCAGATCAGGTGGAAGCATGGATCACGTTTTGTGGGTTTGTGGTCGAATTTGTGATGTTTGGGCTACCTTCAATTTTCGTTGGCCTAATGGAGTTTCAAACAGTACGGTGAAAGAATGGATAAAGTTGGATTTTTCAAAACTACCTAAAAGACAAACATGTTGTAACCATTATGTGGGCGATTTGGTACATGCGCAATCAACAACTTCATACGGGTAAATCAACGGGTATTGAAGCACTTACCTCTTTCATCAAGAATCATACGCAAGAGTTTGAGCTTGCTCAGAGAAGGTTTCAAGCCTCTTTTCCTCCTCAACATGTCCATTGGAAACTCCCTCGTGCTCTATGGGTTAAAGCAAATTTTGACGCTAGCTTTAATCAAGCATCAAGAAATGGTTGGTCAGGGGTGAATGTTCGAGATGAAGAGGGTAATATTCTAGGATCTTGCAAAAAGAAAGTGATTAGGATTACCTCAAGCTTTGCGGCCGAAGCTATGACCGCTGTGCATGCTATCCAACTAGTCATTGATATGGGGCTCACGCGCGTCTGTTTTGAAGAGGATTCAGGGGCAGTGATTCAGAGGCTAGCTTCTAACGAACAAGATATTTCAGAAAGAGAAAATAACCTCAGTAACCAAAAATCTCATATAATATACGATTTTAACCAACTTTTCCCGAATTTGCCAAAATGACCAACAAAATCGCAATGCGATCGTTAATTCGCAACGCGATCTTTATTATCGCAAATCAGTTTCCAGATTCGCAACGCGATTATGACTATCGCAATGCGATTTTACAATTTCGCGTTGTGATTTTCCCAATTCGCAATGCAAATAAGTAAATCGCAATGCGAATTTGGAAAATCGCAATGAGATACTGACTATCGCAACACGATAATACAAAATCGCAACGCGATACTGACTTTCGCAACGCGATTCTGACTTTCGCAACAAGATTCTGAAAATCGCAATCATCTTCAAAATCCCAATCACAACCGGCTTCACCTTTTGGGACTGTTAACTTAGGTGATTTTTAAATGCAAACGATGTATTATGTGTATTTTATGTGTGCACTTTTAACATTTTCAGTTAGGCATGTATTAGTAACTTGAGTTTGAACATTGCTATGATATGTTCAGTTGTTATCACTTATTAAACATTCATTTGACTATCGCAACAGGGAAATCGCAACGCGAAAATGACTATCGCAACGTGAAAATGGCTATCGCAACAAGAAAATCGCAATGCGAAATGAAAATCGCATTGCGATTTTCTCGTTGCGATTTTTATTTCGCATTGCGATTTTCATTTCGTATTGCGATTCTCTCGTTGCGATAGTCAGTTTTGTGTTGCGATAGTCTGTTTTGCCTTCAACATAATGTAGATTGAAAATCAACAAATCAACTATTACATTTCAATCAATTAAACAAGCACAAATAAGAATTATGTACACATCAATTAAACAAAACAACATTTACAAATCATTTTTTACAAATCAATTAAACAATCAAAAAATAATAATAATTCTTATTTCCTCATCAATTATTGAATCAATGAATCAACTTTTGCACCCGTACATCCATTTCACGCAGCTCACTTAAGGATTAACTTGCAGAAACCAAACATTTGCTCAAACAAGACTTCCTACACATCTAAAACCTACAAACAGCAAATTATTGAATTCTAGGTACTTAACCAAACATTTTCAAACCAAAAGGAGTATATATGTTAACAAAAATTGCATTTGACTTACCAATTAACAATGGATACTTTCATAACGCGGATGCAGGTAGGCAGCGTCTCGAATATATTGCTCTAGCCATATAATGCCGAAAGCACAAGCCTACTGCAGCTCTATCTCTATCGGTGGGAGGTAGAAACTCTGTGCTTCCCGTCGTCAAACGCGCCAAGCACATGCATACGAGAGGACCACAATCCCCTCTGGCTCCCAGTGATTGTTGTGGCGCGGTCTCGTCTCTGACAACTGTGACATTGAACTTCTTTGGCTTCTTGTGTCCAGAATGAGTCCAATAATTAATCTCATCCAAGAATTTAGCCAAATGAGAGCTCCATCGCTTGATAATATCTCTCAAATAAGACAGTGATATGTAATTTATCATGCTGGCATATACTATTATCTTCAGGGATGGGAGCTGAAGTTGGACGAGAAGCCAATGACGACGTTCCAAAACAGGGATAAACACCTGCAATCATAAGTAATAATTCATTTATTTGCGCACTTATTTATAAACACCTTTAAAAAATTTTAAAAATAAACACTAACCTTATCGACCTCCCACCATACAGGATAAAGTTTAGCTTGTCCATTGCCCAACGAAAATGATTCATCTCGTTGATTCTTCAAGTGAACTGCGTGAAAAGCCGCCGGCATTATTGTATATCGCGAATTTTTTTTATTTTTCCTAAGCTTCCTTATTATTAGAAGACGTGACACCCACGCATCGATATGCTGTTTTACAAAAAAAGACATATATTAGTGAATTACATTAATTTTTTAAAAAATTAATCAAAATCATATATAAGAAAAATATAAGACTTACATCCCCATCGAAATAGCCACTGTCTTCAACCCCTAATAACACACCCCACCAAGACCGATTAAGTAACAAATACATCTCATCGTTGAGTTTGCTTATATCAGTGTAACACCCTTGGCTCCGCTCATGTAGATAAAAATCAACTGCGGTCTTAGCCCAAAGGGTATTATCCAGAATTGTTTCTGATAGTTGTCTCCTCTCCACTTCAGATACCGGAAGGGTACTAGCCGGTAACTCATACGAGAGCCAACTCTCATCCATCATGTCCGGCAACGGTGGGGGTTTCTCAATAATTCGATATATTACCCCATGTGAATCGGGCTCTGGAATGGTGGGAGGGACCTCTTCAACGATGAAAGTGGCCTCTTGAACGGTGGGGGGGACTCTTGAGGGATGATAGGGGCCTCTTGAACGATTGGAGGGGACTCTTGAGGGATGACAGGTGAGTCGGGCTTCTTCTTGCGGAGTCTTCGCACCATTGGGGTGAACGGAGACGTAATAGCACGTGCACGCCGTCTGATGCGTGAACTCCGTCGTGCAAGGAAAACCCGATGTAAAGCATCCACCTTATCGGGCCGCTAAAAAAATTAATACATAAATCAGTAAATAAACAGACATGATATTAAACAAAGACAAATATGTTTCAAACTTGCATTGTATTCACCCAAGTCATTATTCTATCATAGTTCACAAAATGCATCAGATAACATTCCAGAACTAAACACTTATATAAACATTTAAAAGGACAACAAATATAAACATTCCAGAAGAAGAATAGTTTACTTTCGCAACACGAAACTTACTTTCGCAACGCGAAAATGACTATCGCAACGCGGAAATGGCTATCGCAACGCGGAAATGGCTATCGCAATGCGAAATGAAAATCGCAACGACAAAATCGCAATGTGAAATGAAAATCGCAACGCGAAACACAAATCGCATTGCGATTTTCATTTCGCATTGCGATTTTGTCGTTGCGATTTTCATTTCGCATTGCGATAGTCATTTTCGTGTTGCGAAAGTAAACTATTTTTCTTCTACAAATTGAAACTTGAATGGATTGCATTACTTCAACCAAAAGACAAAAACAAAACCAAAAACAAATACTAACAAAAACAGTTTAGCAGTATTGGCAGCAACCGAATGAATTTATTAAGCAATCTAAGTGAAATGGTTAATCTAAGTGAAATTACGAGTAAATTTATCATCAAGTTAAATATGAAAAATCTTAAACTTACCTCGTTGCGTAGAGTATGAACCTCATTCTGCAACGATGCTACCATCTCACGTAGAGCGGCTACCTCACCGCGTAAAGTAGACACCTCAACACGCCATACACCATCGTCTTTGCGTAAAGTACCGACCTCCTCACGCAAGGCATTGACCTCAACACGTAACTCCCCTAACTCATCCCGTGGAGGTGGAGGTGGAGAACAGGGAGATAAACGTCGTGGTAACTTTGCTGGTCGCCTATCTTGCGGTGATGTTGGAGAAGAGGCTCGATGATGTGACAGAATAGGTGATGGCTGTCGTTGTGGAGGTGTATAGTCGGGTCGATCAGGTGATAGCTCTGGGTTAGGTGATAGCTCTGGGTGAGGTGATGGCTCCCAAAGTGGAGGCTGCTCATCATCCGTGCCATCAAAAAAACGCTTACTAGCTTGCCACCAATCAGTGGCAAGCTCAGCTTCCGTGGGTGTCATCCTCTGCAATGGAGGGTTGGCCTCCTAACAATATAAAAGCTCAAACAAAGTTAAAAGTGTACTAGTAATAACTTGTTTATAAACATATGGTAGTATTTATGTTAACTTACATTATTTATTGTCGTATACCGTAGTAAATCTTCCCATTGCAAGGTTCGTTTCCTCTTCCAGGAAATAGCCCTGGGAATATCATTTGAAGTTTTTATTGCATGTCTTCATGGCAGGAAAGGCCTCAAATATCCAAATCTACAAACAATATAATAAAAAACATTAGTAATTGTTAAATAATTACTTATAATTTTGGAAACATTATATAAAAATTCTTACCTTAAAGGCCCAAATAAAGCCTGTCAAAGTGTATTTGGAACCATCGCCATGCAAACTTTTTCAATCATCCAAGGCAGACGATAACTTATTCCATGTAGCTTTCCATAAATACGAGCCCCACGGAAACAGGTTCCACGCATTTAGGTCTTCTACCAATTTGATTAGATCATTCGGAATAGGTTGTCTGGCCTCTCTGCCTAAAAAGCCGGCATGCAAAAGTATTAGAAGGCATACTCGGACAACATCGATGTCATCCATCCGAGTAAAACCATCTTTCTTATTCAATAATCTCGTCAGGTCTTCCACGTGTAGATTCGGCCTCTCCAGCTCAGGAAAAACCCGGGATAACCATGATGGGCGGGTAATGTGTCTAGTGTACCGACCTACATCATCGTGTCCGAAGCGTAGACCGGTGATTAAGAAAAACTCCTCCCGCCCAAAACACGTATACGCCAGTGGAAAATCAAACCATATCTCTTCATCACGACGTTGTATAGTATCTGGTAGATCCCTAGTCATGGTTTGAAGAAACATGTGTGTCAACATCGCATCTCCACCGGGATATTGTACTTTCAGCCATGGCCCGAAGCAAGTATCCTCAAACATTTTTCTTTGTGCAGGTGAAAGCTTCGACGCAATTGTTTTGGCCAGGCTGACTTTATTTCTTAATGTCAATTGAGCCGAATAAAAGTTCTACAAAAACAATAAACATACTAAGTTAGATATACCAAAAACTACACTGTGAAGATATACCAAAAACAATAATAAACATAAAGAGTAGTAGTTTATTCTTCAAACTTAAATTTGCAACACTGTGAATTTCTTATTTGTCTTTGTTTTTTGGTTGAAGTAATGCAATTCATTCAAGTTTCAATTTGCAGAAGAAGAATAGTTTCTGAAAATGAAAATCACAACACGAAAATGACAATCGCAACGCGAATTTGACTATCGCAACGAGAGAATAAAATCGCGTTGCGATTTTGTCGTTGCGATTTCATTTCGCATTGCGATTCTCGGTTGATTTAATAAGCAATCTAAGTGAAATGGTTAATCTATTATTGAAATTACCAGTAAACTTATCATCAATTTCAATATGAAAAACCTAATAATAATGCAAAATTTTCAAAAAGAAAATAATTAAAAAAACTAACCCTCGGTGGTTGATTTGGTTGATTTTCCATTTCTGATTGTGAGGGTGGCTCTGAGAGATGGAGATAGACGGATTTCGCCGGAGATGGGGACGGATTTCGTCGGAGATGGGTGAGAGAGTGAGAGATGGAGATGGACTGAGTTGTGATTTTAGGTTTTAGGTTATGAGTTGCGATTACGGGATATACTGTGGACGGTTCAGTGTTCCAATATATTAATATTCGTGTTTGGAATTTGAAAATAAAATACGCTTTGCGATACTAATGGCACTTTGAAAATCGCATTGCGATTATGTATTATCTCGTTGCGAAAGTCAGTATCGCGTTGCGAAAGTAAGTATCGCGTTGCGAAAGTCAGTATCGCGTTGCGATTTTGTATTATCGCGTTGCGATAGTCAGTATCGCGTTGCGATTTTCCAAATTCGCGTTGCGATTTTCCAAATTCGCGTTGCGATTTTCCAAATTCGCGTTGCGATTTACTTATTCGCATTGCGAATTGGTCGCGTTGCGAATCTGGAAACTGATTTGCGATAATGGAGATCGCGTTGCGAATTAGCGATCGCATTGCGATTTTGTTGGTCATTTTGGCAAATCCGGAAAAAGTTGGTTAAAATCGTATATTATATGAGATTTTTGGTCACTGAGGTTATTTTCTCTTTCAGAAATTGGGGTATATGTTATGGACGGAAGAAGGCTTAGTTCTTTGTTGCATGCAAGAGATTTTCGGTTTGTACCTCGACCAACAAACAAAGCAACCCATTTGTTGGCATCGTTCCATGTTCCCACGGTTGAAGTTCCTTTCTGGGTTGAAGAAGCTCCAGCTCCGGTAGCCCTTCAAGTTGCCGAGGATCGTCGTTTGTTGGATCCGCCGTAGTTGGGACTCCGATGGTTCGAGGGGTCTATTTTAGGTTCAATATCAACTTGTTTTGCTTATTTCCGTACTAGTTTGATCATTTTCCAAGGTTTTTCGCAAGGAAAGTTATATCGGTTGCTCTTCTGGGTTGACTTTTTCCTTTAAGCTTTATGTTTTCAAGACTCTTTGTTTTGCTTCTGTTTTTTTGGGGCTAGCGATTAGATGGTGTATAGCTGTCTCCACATTTTATTTCTTCAGTTCTTTGTTTGTACCTTTGGGCTTTGTTTAATTTAAATAAAAGCTACCCTCCGACATTACAGTAAAAAAAATAAAACAAATCAATAATTTATTAAAATTAAATTTATTATTTGATAATCAAATCTATTTAATCTGACAACCTACAAGTAAATATAATTATTTTAAACCTAATACAAATACTGAAGGTCGATCTATAGACAACTATGCAAATTAGAGAAGAGTGTTAAGGATGATATAAACTCTCTTTCAACTTTTCATTATTTATCGTCTTCTTTAACCCATTATTCTCCATTGTCTTTTTAGTCCCCTGTTATTTATTGTTTTCATAAAACCATCAAATGTGATTCTCTACTCAGATAAAAAAAGTAATTGTAGACACGTGTTTTTGTCTGGGTTTTAAATTATTATTATCTTTTACATTTTTGCAGACCCAAATAGAGCCCAACCCTGATACAACACCCGAAGCCCAAAACTCAACCCCACTCAGACCAATTTCAAGCCCAACCCAGATACAAGATCTGACACGACTCGATTCAGTTAGGGTTTCAAAATCCTAACTCTTATCCAGTCGCTGCCGCCATCAGCAGAAGAAAAATTGTCCATTATCGACGCGTGGGATGTACGCGCCAACTTTTCAGCTTCTAGTCGCGTGAGCAAGCCACCATCACCACCGGAGCTCGACACTGCTGCCATCGTCATCAAACCTGTCAAACAGTGATGAAAATTCGACTGAATAGTGAAGAAATCAACAAAAGAACAACCAAAATCAATCACTTACCAACCCTAATCTAAAACCCATTAAAAATCACTTTAATCCCAGCAAATCTGGAAAACCATTCCCTATACTAGATATCGTCATCTCACCAAAAAATAAAAACAGAAGGATACCATAAAAGCAAGGGGGATTCGGGAAAAAATAGAAAAATATCATAGAATAGAGGGGAACCATTCGAGCAAAAAAACTGAACTAAAAAATCCAGCCTATTTCAAACCAAAAGGACTCACCTCTTCTTCGGCATTCACCATTGTGCTCTTACCGGAGTAGAAAAGGCCACTTCGCCGGAGGTAAATCCATCTCTTCTTCGGGGTTTATAGCGTAAAAGGGTTAAAAGAAAGATCGTTTTGGATTTTAGGGTTACAAAGGGAGAGTTTTAGTTTCATTTCCCCCACCGGGGTCACCAATTTCCAGTAGCCAAGAGGGGTGGATAGTGAGATAGTTTTGCTCGGTGGGGAAGGAAATAGGAGGGGAAAAGAGAGGCTGATTTTGGTTTCTAAAAGGATGTTGTTAGGCTGGTTCGGTTAAGAGAATAGTGGTCGAGAGTTTGGGGACCCAAATCGGGTCATTCCATAATGTCGTATTTGTCGGTTAGGGTTTAGGGTTTCTCTCTTTGACAGAGGAAAGAAGAAGAAAATGGAGAATAGATAAAGAGATACTGAGAAAGGGGTAGTGAAATGGGATTAGGATTTTGAAATAACCCTTAAAATCGATTATATCTCATCTTCCATACGATGTCGTTTGAAGAATGGAGAAACCGCACGTTTTGGGAAAAGGGGATATTAACGCTTTATATCATTTTCATTTATAATGCCTATGTTTTAGTCATTAATGAAGTTTTTTGAAATATTGTTTTGGGTATCTATTTTTCTTTGTTTATATTTAAGTCCTTACCTTTCATATTTTACCATTTTCGTGGATGTTTAAATCTGGACTCACATTTTGTATTTTTTCATTTTAATCTTAAATACAACTTTGAATCTTTTAATTTCTAGCTTCAAGTATTGATTGTTTGTATTTTAGTCATTATCTGTTCTTTAATATACATTTGGTTTAATGTCTATTTTAGGCTATTGATTAATGATTTATATCATTTAGATCCTTATTTGTGTAGTAGTGAATATATCAATATTTATGATTTGGTTCCTAAATTTATTTGTCTTTTGTTCCAGTCCTTAGATATTATTTTAGAAGATAATTTTTGAGTTTGTATCATAAATCTTAGATTTCACTTTTAGCTCATTTTGGTCACTATTTTGGTTTTATAAGTGAAATGATAGGGTTTATTACATATTTATGCTTTATTATTTTGTCCTTTTATGATTTAGCCCTTTTGTTATATAATGTCATTTTATTATCTTAGTTCAAACAGTTTAATTAATATGTTTGTATTCATTTATTTTTTATGTTATTAGATGTTTTTATTATTATTTTATATCATATATATATATATATGTTTAATTAATTTCTCTTAATCCCTTTATGTTTATATATATTGTTTATTTCATTATATTATTTTATCTCAATCATATTAATTTAATTATAAATTAGCCTTTTATTAATATTGTGTGTCTCTCATACTCGATTAAAATGTTTAATCTTATTCGAATATTTTCAAGAACACTCGTCATAGAATGGGCGTGAAAAACACTGCTTGATCGAAGTAGTGTGATTCGATACGACATTCGAACGATAAGTGAACTTGAAATTGATCAAATTTATTTTTTAATTCATTATTTTATTTTAGTTTAATAGCATTTTATGTTTCTTAAATGGTATGTCATATTGTTTTATGAAATTACCAATAATTTTTGTTTGATTTGCGATCTTTGATAACAATGAGGAGAGAATATTCTTTTACAGATAAGAAATAGACAAGACAGCTTTTCCGATGGAGGATTTCTAATCTCGAGATTTCTTTTCAAGTTAAAGAGTTTTCCCTAATAAATAATTCAAAACAAATTACTTCAACTTTAATAAATGGTCATATTTTAACATTATGTTCAATGTATGATTTCCACCATAACGACAACGTGTAAGCGATTAAGTACCAATTTTTTTAGCGTTGTAGGGGTGTTTATCCTTCCCCACGCGTAATCGACTCTCGGACCTGTTAAATTGAATCTTTGATAACGCATATCGATTTTTGTCTAAAAACGATTTTTCTTAAAATTGTTTTAAAAGATGTTTTTAGGTATTCGACCTACCTAACCTAAAGGTCGATGGCGACTCCTATTCAATTTAATTTAAATTAATTCATAAATCAACAAATTTTTTCAAATAAAGTCATAATTGTTTTTTAAAACTTAATTGTTCTTTTAAAAAAAATGGTCATGGCAGCTTGGCGACTCCACTTAGGAGTTTTTTTAGAGAGTCGGGTTGTAAGTCGCTTACACATTATCGTTGTGGTAGAAATTATGGGTTTGATTTTATAGTTAACTTATGATCCATTTATTTAAGTTTTTTTAGTTTCTTCATTTTTAATCATGATATTAATATTTTAATCTTTGTTTTCAGCAATGTTCAAGTTTCTATTGAGAGGTTTCTTTTCTCTCTAGAGTAAAAGGTTTTTAGGTTTCTCCTCACACACATAACGAGCATTCACATGACATGAGCTCTAGACCCGAGCTTCATTCCAAATAAGGCGGCTGAATGTTTTACTCTCGTAAGAATTTATTCTTCGTATGAGTTTTAGCAAATAACCCCTGGGATACATATGCCTTATACCTTCGTAGGGACTTATTCCTCGTATGGGTATAAGGAAATGAATCCCCTTGAATTGAAATCGATCCGTTTACGCCTATAATGGGTTATGATAAAGGGTTTGGCAGCCCAACGGGGCACCAAAATCAAGGAAAATTCAAGTACTCTTTCTCGTTAGAGCCAAAACTATACATATAGTGAACCGTAGAACGGTCACCCTAGGTATAGTCATACCGAACCTCTGTCTGTCAGTAAGTGCCAAAATAGGTGTACACGAATAAGGAACGACTCTAAACCTTTACCTTTTGCTTTAAATTCATATAATATATTTATTCTTTTCGAATAAAGACATGCGAACTAGATACCATGCGGTTAGAATTATTTCTTAAAAATAAATCATTTTGGGTAGAAAACATGTCTAGGTAGGATTTCTATTTAATAAAAGCATGCTCGGGTAGATATCATGATTGGGTAGGTGTTATATTTATCTTTAAATAACATCTTTTAATTTTATTGATTATCTTGCCCGCACTAACTTATTTCTATTTTTGTTTGTCATTTTTCATCATTTTTGCATTGCATTTCATCAACATAACATAACGCGAAAATGTTGATCCGCAAGGGATATTCAAGTGAAAATTTTCACAATGAGAGATAAAAGTTTTCAATCAAGCAATCGCGTACACAGACACGCAACGAGGGCTAAAATAAGTTCAAAGAGTAGAAGAATGAGACTTGCTCGAAGATCGTCCAACATTTGAGACTGGAATGATGATCCAATGATCCGAGGAGTAATCTAGCAGTAGAGTCTTATCTATGATCATTTCATCGCTAGTCATCAAGACGCACTGAATTCAATGCCACCGGGGCATTAACAGAGTTAGGTTACAGAGTGCTTGAGGGGCATAATTTTCAAGGATAAAGATCCGAGACGAAATATTGACCCACTTCAGACACAACATCTAAGCAAAAGCATGTTTGTAAAATGGATTATCTTGTAATGTGAAGGATTTTATCTCTGGTGAAAGTTGTTCTACGATATTCATCGTTGGGATCAATCTTTTTGTATCTGCATTTGCATTTTGCATCCACATTTCAATTTTTAAGCATTTTCACATGCATCATTCATGAAAACATGGAGATTAATTCGTGGAGGATTCGATGAAGTGGTCTTTATCATGTGACACCACATTGAGAATAGAAGCAAGATTTGAACAATTAAACGAAGAAGCTGAAATCAGTACAGTGGGAGCATATTCAGTTGATCGTAGGGCTGAACCTTCCA